TTAATACAAATGCAACTGCTACCAAAATTATAGTTTGTAAAAATTCACAAAAAATCTGGAAGTGCTTCGAATATCTTTATATCTGTTCTAGGGAGGAAAAGCAAAATGTAATGGCATGCATTCTTGAAAAAGTCTGGCCAAAAGGAAATACCTCCAAGAAACAAGTTGCATTTGCTATTGCAATATGCCAAACGATTCTAAATTTACATAATAAAAGTATTTTAATTAATGAAGTGTTAATTAAAAGCAAAATAAAAAAAAATAAGATAAGTTTTAAAAATCTTTGAAGTATTATAGAGTTATTTGTCTATTAATAAAATATTTTAGGAAAAAATTAAAAAGAAAATTAGATTTACAGAAGACAATTCAAGCAATGAAAATCAAGAAATGCATGAGCAGGAAGATATGAATTTTAAAATACTCTGAGAAAATAGAAAATGATAAAAATGATCTGGAATTGTAACCAAAAAATGTAGAAATAAAAAGGTTTACTTCAGCAATGAGTAATGTAAATATAAATGATTAATAAAAATATGTAAAAAAAGTAATTTTCAATAAATAAACTTTTAAAAATAAATATTTTAATAATAATGTGAAATTATTTTATTACAATTTAAAATATTTGAAATTTTCTAAAGTTTTATATATAAATCTCTACTGTGAAGATTTCTAACAATGATGGAGTACCTCTAAAGTTTTATACCCAAAAATATCTAAAGATCTTTGTCAAAAAAATTTCTGGATAATATAGGACTATTATATATATGATATATAATATAGTTGTCTACTTACTATAAATAGCTTACATGGTTTATATTAACTTATATAAATTAAAGTGTATATAATATAATGTAAATATATATCTACTAAAAATATATTTAATAAAGTGTATAGAGATTTCTTACTAACTAAATTATCAATTAAAAACCAATATATAGACCCAATTAATCACTATATAGATTGGTTATTCAAAGGAATCACAAATCCATTTACTGGTTTTTTTTTTCTTTTTCTCAAAGTTCAATATCAATTAGCCATTCTTAATATGTTAGATCCCATAGTAAATAATAACAAATTGATCAATAAGAAGGGTAAATCTACCTTTGGATAATAACATTTGTATACTAGAAAGTTATGAAAATTGTAAATATAAAACTATATGTATACAATGAATCTTTCTTATAAGCAAAACAAGGATAAACCAGTTTATAAAAAAAAAATAAAAAATAAACAAAAATAAAAAATAAAAATAAAAATAAAAAATAAAAATAAAAATAAAATATATATCAATCACATGTAGACCATCATTATGAATAATTTTGATCGAAATTATGAAATCGGGCCTAAGCGCCATACAGGTGATACTATTTAAAGAATTCCCGGGTTTTCTTATTTATACCCGAGGTACTATATCAAGCGCTATACAGTACTAATGAAATCTTAAAAGTAAAATATGCTTGATAATAAATATAAAATTTATAAATATCCAGTATTATTAAATCGCAAAAACGAGTAATTGTGCAATATTTCACCACGCTCAATGCATATTTACAATTTGGACTTCTTCGCTGCCAACATAGCAGCCAAAGCTAAGAAAAAAAAAATTTTTTTAAGAACTTGAAAAAATTTGGACATAATCGCAGATAAATACCTAAACATACTTACCAGCACCAACCCCTGATCCATCCTTTGCCAACTGAATTTCAAACTTATCCGCGTCAGACCCGAACATTTGGTAAAGTGAGCTCTTGATATTTTCCTTAAAGTTCGGGTAGAATTCGAACAATGATCCATCAATTCCGATCACGCATCCATTTTCGGTCACTTCACAATGCTTAATAACTCCCGCCAATGCTATTGCAGATAGCTTAGCAGCCCTTAGACCAACCAGTTGGCAAACTCTCTTTACAATTTGTCGATCGGTTATAGTGGTTTCTGGGATGCTCAATTTTTCTTCCAAAATTTTTTTGGTGTTTTCTAATGTGGGGGTGATATCAGACTCAATGTTGGACATATATTCGGTCTCAAATGCGTAATGTTTGTTAAGACTTTCTGAGGAACGGCTACCGAAAAGTAATGCACAGTCAACAAGGTGCAATAGGACATTACGAGCTATTTCGCCTAAGTACATCCCGGAAATCATCTTTTCAAATATATAAGAGTTGGGATTATTTGACTCAAGATCTAATTTCTTATCATATTTTGTGATAGGAAGGACACTTTTCTGCTTGAAACGTGAATAAACATTAATTAATATAACACAATGTTCGTATGAGTCAAACATTTAACCAAAAAAAAAGAAAAAAAATTTTTAATATTACTTCATTGAATGCATTAAATGCTCCCCATTCTATATTAATTATCATTACTTCCGAAGCATCAGCTTTTGATTTTAGTTTTTTTATGTTACTTAAGTGTTCAAAATATGCACAATTTGTACCAGTTCCTAAGATGACGCCCAAGAGAGTATTAGGATATTTGTAAGAGTGAGATAACAATGTACCCACAGTATCATTCACCAAAGCCGCAACTTTAACTGGCACCGACAAGCGATCTAACGACTCTTGTAACATAGAAACTACATCTTTTCCCACTGCATCTGGGCACACGAATCCTTTGGTCCACATTAACAGGGTACCTTTATCTATTGCAGTTTGTTGCACGGGAAATGAAAAAGTGAATCCCAACTTCAGCTTCTCATTTCCTTGTTCATGCTTATAACCAATTTCAGCCAGAAATTTGAGAACGCTATCGGCTATGGAATCAAACAAGATACGAGCTTCGCAGACTTTTAGACTTTCAGAAATCAAATACTTTTGTTGTTTAATAGTTATTTCACCATTTCCTTTGAGATCTACTTGACAAACTCGAAGATTTGTACCACCGAGGTCTAAGGCAAGAAATGTACCAGTTTCTTGGCCGGTCGGTCTTCTGGTGACTAGAATATGTTTAAATTGTAGTTAGTATCAATTATTACTTTAAAGTTAAAAGCTGAAGCGTGTGAAGTAAAATTTTTAGAAAGTTAAACTTTGTACTTTATCTACTTAAATATTTTGTTTTCGAATCTGTAAAAAAGTAAATGCTCAACAAAAATTAAGAATAAAATTACCAAAACTAGGTACCATTGCCAAATTTTGTCCATAATTCTCCAGACCTTTATTCAATTCCATCATAAAATGGTTCCTAATTTCCATTGATTTTTCAGCGTTCAACTCTAACTCACGAGTTATCTCTTCGATCGCTGTCAATTGCTCTTGAGAAGCATTTTCGATTTGCTCAAATTCTGAAACAATATTACTTCCGTCTGACATTTGATTTATTTCAAAGAAGTGAAATGGTTGATGAAAATGTGATCTTAAATATGAAAAATTTCGGATAATGTTGCTAAAATCTAGTAGCAATATGGTTTTAATACTATGTGTTCATATAGGTGATGAAATAATTACAAAAAAAAGCACGATTAACATATTATATTATTAAAATGAAAAAAAAAATTTTTATATTACTTATAGTTAGATCAAATATTAATCTATAGAAAGTTTAAAAAAGAAAAGTTATCAAAAATCAAGTGATATTTAAACTTATACAATTTGGTCCAAAAAAGACCGGAATTTTTTATTGCGCAGAAACGGTCACATTGAATCACGTGAAATTTTATTTGTTCTTTTTTTTTTTTTGAGTACCCATAGCCAGGCTAGATCGTCAGTTTATTAATCAAA